TGACGACGTTAGGGCGGTGATAATTTGTCAGAATAATAATAATGCCAGAGTAGTTGGACATATATGTAAAATGAGTTGGAGACGATGTTGTGGAGTTGGCGAGATAAAGAGAATGGTGGAGAGAAACATTTCACGCGAAAATTCACGTTTACAGAGAGAGAGGAACAAATGAAAGGAGAAGTAACCGTCACAGGGACGGAGAGTCAGACTAACCCATCATGATTCTGCAGATAAACAATTGCGTTAAACAAATGAAAGTTATGAATGTTTGTCCATCCCGACGACGTTCGGACGCTAGTAATTTGCCAGAATAATGAACGAGTAGCTGAAAAGATAAGTAAATGAGCAGGGAGATGACATTATGAATTTCAGGTACGTTTTTTTGAAGTTTAGGGAGATAAAGAGGTAATGTAAGCGAAATGAATCCTGTTGTTACTTTGTCGGTGAACGGTTTTGGTGAAAAGTATAATGTTATATACGTTATGTGTAATCAAATGGTGTTAGTATAACTAAACATATCGTATTTCTTCATTGATAAGCTTAGAAGAGGTTGATAATCGATTTTTATTCGGCTAACGTTTCGACGTCTTCGTCTTCATCAGAACCGATGATCCGAGTCGATCGCCCACAGTTGCTTCGTCTTCTCGACATGGCGTCTTGGCCTTCGTATCGAATAGGATCTCTCCCTTCAGTGGAGCATCTCCCGAATGAGGCATACTCACCCGGCGATGCCCTATTATAGAGGATTATGGTTGTTGATAATTGTGATTATCCGGTGATAACAACTTGTTATTTTCGGACAATCCATGCTGCAGAGCTCAGTATCGTTATCATCTTGCAAAGCGTACAACATTTCTTTAAAAGCGACAGTCCTTTAAGCTCGTTGTGACCAATCAATATGTATTCTTTGTTAATGCCTTCAACGCAGATGCGTAAACGTGTAGTACTCCTAATGGAATAAACGCATATTAAATAGTAAATAAAGCAATTTCCACAGAATGTGTGTAACTTTATGGTTAATAATGCTTACATTTTTGTGGTAAGTGCTGTTTAAAGCAGATGAATGACGTTATTCTACTGTTTGCAGTAAACTTGACCTCTTCCCACGAAAAATCGCCATTTTTCATTGTCATGTATTTGTACATGTATTACTTCAAAGAAAACCATTACCAGACTACTTACTCAGATTGTCCTCACTTGTCGGCTCTTGTGGATCCGAAGGAGATAACCTCCCTTGCGAGAGTAACACGCTTCTTTCAGAATGGAAACAATTTCTTGGGCAATGCTCTACTTCTTGATGCGCTCTCAGATGAAATGTCAAACTTCTTCTCAGCCTAGGAGACCCTGCTGCGGCGTGATGGAGTACCTTGAAGTGTTGTAGACCACTTTTCGATATCCAGGAAACTTGCCCGAGCTATGGTGATACTATAGGTTATTATTGGTGGAAAAAAATAAATAATAAACTGACCAATATTTTGCTGAGATATTTGCAAAACCCGCTAACGGGTGATTGCTGTGGCAAAAAGATCGATAGAAATAGCTAAGAGACAGGCGAAACAAAGGACCCGCATGATGTGGTGGTGAACGCGTTACTCCCCGGAAAGGACAATGGCGCGTTCGTTCCCCACCATAGACACCTGCGGCCCAGAGTTTTGCAAATATCTCAGCAACGATGTGGTTGTATTTCGTTTAGTACCCTGCCGCGAAATTATAATAGGCAGAAAATAAAAAGGTATAACATTGGGACCAATATTTTCTTAGGTGCTAGATTGCACAGTGGTAGTGACGCCGATCATCATGAGTACGGTGACGGTTCGATCCTGCTCCAAGCTCATAAAGCCTCATATCCTTACGAGGTCGGGAAATTGATGCCGGAATTTTCGGGGAAAAATCTCTGCAATTCAACTGGGAACGCTGCAGCCAGGCTATGTCAGTACGCCAAGGAGAATCGTCTCGACCAGCATTCTGCGACATTCAAGATGAAACGAAATTCCTCAAGCAACAGCCGAAACCACACGTAAAAGTTGGAAGACCTTCGTAGATGACGGTTGCGAAGAAAACGAATCGAATGTGAAAGTGCGTGCGTGGATCGGCACAGTAGATGTGAAGACAGGTCGTATAAAAGGAAGTGTTTTCTTAGAAGGAATGAAGTGGTTATTCCGAGATCTATTTAATTAGCAAATCTGAAACCGAAAGAGATTGTTTGTGAAGTTTTCAACGTTGATACTACCCCTTTCAGAAATGTATTAGTTCATTATATACTCTTGTCCTTTGACATTTCCATTAACATCATGAGAGGTGGATTATGGAGTAACATTGACATTGAGTAACAGTAACAAAAGTATAAAACTATCTCGAGTTATTAACGAGCTAAGATTCTTCGTATTCTAGCTAATTCCTTTTAAAGCAAAGTAATCGTGAAAGTTTTCTCCGACGGCTAGTACTCATTGTTTTTGGATATTGATTATTTAGATAGTATTATTTGTTTTTAATTTTATTGTTCTTCATTTATCCAACGGCCCATTGTGCTCAGTTATGGAAAGTTTACATGAAACACGTCGTTATTAAATCCTTTAGCTTCTTCAATAATATCGTGCGCAAATTTTTTATGAAATAGTCCTTTTAGTAATGTTTCTTCTGTTACCAACTGTTTGATGATAAGAGGTGAGGTAGATATAACTAGAATCATTCCAACGAGATTGTTAGATGAGTGGTCCTGCTTGTCAGAATCTGAGGCTAATCATTGGCTATCTAGTGAGGTGTGAATGATCCTGAAGCGAATCTTTGAAGACGTCGACCAGGATCGCAGTTGAGAATCGATGGCACGCAAGGGTTGCAGTAGATCGGAAAACCCACGGAAGTTTTCGTACTTGGAGACAATTTGTTGTCGTTAACCTTCTTCTAGATTTTTATGAAAAACCACCGTATCTTTTAGCATGACTCAATTAATACATAAATTAGCACCCTGGTTTGAAGCCACACGTAATAGAATGTGTCTGAAGCTTTTTAATCAATTATGCAAGTTTTTTTGTCTCAGAGAACGTCCTTATGTTCTTGGTTTATCGTTTTTCCTTTTTGTAGCTTCGAGTTGTTTCAAGTACTCAAATGTGTCTCTATATCAATGATGTTACACTCTCAACAACACAGAGTAATGACCTCCTTCGTTAGCCCTCACTTTTATCCATCTAACAACATAGTCATCAGACAAAGCCCTGTGTAGTGGAAAGGAAACTAGAAAAAAAAAACAAGGAATTAGAGAGAAGCAACAATAGAAGAGCCTGCGAGCCCAAATGTTGGTAGTGAAACCGCATTGTTGTGTCATTTCCCAATTTAATAAGTCTAGAGGTAAATTCAGTCACAGCACGCTATATTCCGTGGTTATGGTTTTAAAAAATCTGCGTAAAAGGATGTTCAAAGCCATTTAGCTAATTTTCAAGCTCTGTGCCAGATTGTTATAGTTTCATATCGCAGAAGTATTCATACATGTAAAGTCGAGTTGATTTCTCATTCGTTGAAAACTATGGCCAACTGACGTGAATCACTGGCTCGTAAAAATCCGACATTGTCATTCTATGAAGCTGCGTCTGCTTTATTATTTATTTATTATCTCCCAATGGAAGGGAGTGTGGAGCGGCAATTCATTCGTTCCTGCATACTATCATAGGAGGAAAACTCCATTTCGTCAAGGAATTGTTCGTCATGTAGCTTTGCGATAAACGAAGCAGTCATTCTTTCACATCAACTAGTGCTGTAGAAACCGTACTGGTAAGGCGAAGTAGAGTATAAGTTAGTTATACATTTAGAAACGCAACATTTAAAAATAGGCCACGGATTTTGGAATACGTTTCAAGGGGAGGCTTCGAGAGCTTTGCAAGGGTAACGTTTATTTCGAGGATTCACTACTAAGACACTTTATCCTTTGCCTCTTTTGGCGATGTCAAAGGTCGTTCGTTAATCTTTAAATAAGATTCCCTAACCAATTAATGCGTGACGTTTCGCGCGCAACATTTTCCTATTTTATCAAAATCAGAGACTTTCATAAGAATTTGGATAGTTTTTCTCTTCAAATGTACTACCAGGTGTTTTTCTTGTAAACTCGTTTTTATGGTTTTAGTTTTATGATGAAGGTTGTCTTGAACACGGTAGTAAACTGATTTAAAGGAGTGCATATTTATTGAACGATTTTTAAATAGAGTCCTAATCCGGAGAAGATAAGTAGCACTGTAGTTTAGATGAGACTATTTGTCGATGTTCACCTAATCCAGCACAGGTCAACGATTAGCGGCCCACGATCAGACTTCATTACGTTGATAATGGCAATGTCAAGCAAACAAACCGTAAAAAGTAACATGACAGAAGCGATTGCGTAACCCTCGACCTGGTTTTAGATGACCTGTAGATAGGGAAAAACTTTTCTCATTGGCTGTTTTCATTTCCATTTATTTATGTTGCCTACCTTCTATCAGATCTTCGAATACTGTGCGGATCCCAGGACCTCAATTGTTCGGCTCCTCCAGCATCCGCCATGTATGATATCCTTGGGATTTGCGTGTGGATGAGATCTGCCAAGTGAAGATTTTGTCCTTCCCATGAATATCGTTGAATGTTAGTCAGTCGTACTGATTCTTTCGAAATTCTTGAGATAGCTGTGATAGAACGTTCTCAAGTCTTCATCAAAGGTAGTCGCTGTTCTTTGTGTATCCAAGGGAACTTTCCTTCGACAAACTCGATACCACTTAGCACAGTTGCCAACCAGACTTTTGGACACCATATCTGCCCAATGAATTCAATTTTCTCGAGATTTACAGATGGCTCCACATCTTGATAGCTGTCTTTTATGTTTATTGTTCCCGATGAGGAGGAGGGACTAGTCAGAGGGATCCACTAGTAGGCTGTTGGGCTTTGTGATAGAGGAATAGTCACATTTATGAGTAGATGATTGATTCCTTTTGAAAAGAACGTTGGGCTTACTTTGGAAAATACCCCAAACTTCTATTCAAATGCAGAGTTCTGATCATATCTGGATCCAGCATGTAGTGCTTATGTAAGCAGACACATCCAGGGCGTAAGTTTGCCTATGTGGAAGCACAAACTTTCTCAAGTCAGTGTGACAGAGACAAGAAGTTTATCACCTGAACCAATCTTCGTCTCAGGAAAAGTCCATGCTTGATTACGGTACACATTTAAACCCTTATTAACTGCTTGATTAGTGGTCACGTAGCTTTACGGCCAGAGAGATCTAGGCCCTAGTTAGAGTGTGGTTAGTCGACTCGAGTCATAATTGGTAAGAATAGAGTGAATATACTTCAAGATGAAAAATTGAAAACCCAGTTATCACGGGATTTCAGAAAAAACCGACTTGACTAGCATTCAATAAAATTTGCAACAAGCAAGAAAAAATCCTCAAGTAGCGGTCGAATCTACCCTCACGGAAGAAAAAGTTCGAGAATCTTCATGCATGGTGGATGCAAGGGAGCGAAACGAATGAAAGAAGCGTAAAGAACCGTACAGTGTGATACACGTAGTGTCGGGTCGTTTTATAAAAAAAATAGTCTTTATCACTCAAACAAATCTCACAATACACATGCCATGTATATTGCATTCACATATATCGTATATATTACACAGGCATAATATATACTTTTCTAAGTGCTGTATTGTTTACGAATTCATTTTTCTTAAAACGAAGCGAAATGAAAGTTACGAGGGCGATTGTCGATGTCACTAAGCTATATTTTTTATTGTAATTCTTTTTAAGGATTATTTACTTCCCATTATTTCTCGATGGAGGGGTATTTTGTGTATTGTAGTTAGCAACTACGGAATATATGTGTATACGTGTACATATTCGTATATATATTCTTTCTCATGTTCTATTCTTTAGTTAGAATGTCGTAGTAACGCGGTCAGTGTTTGAGGTTCTAACGAGAAACATGCCACTGAACCGTGTCCTTAAACAACAAGAAAGAAAACATTTCTTAACTTTTTTCTTTGTCATTCCGGATTCTCTGGAATTTTCCAGCATTCCAGATCGGTGACGATCCTTCTGAATGCCGTTTGACGGACTCCAGAGGCCGTCGTCGTCCGCTATATTTCACAGCTTCATCAGCATCACGTCTTCTTCATTTAGCTACAAATCTCACTGAGGTTACTATTCTCATAAAAGAAGTGGACGCGTACCAAAATCCATTCTCTGCTACAAGCGTCGGAGGTAAACTATAATACTTATCGCATCTGTCTTAAAATTATTTCTTTGTGAGCTATAAAGAGAAGGGGTCGCTATCAAACTATTCCGCGCCGTTCCACAATTGTAGGTGATTCTTGCAGCTAGAAGAAAATTAATTTGGGATCTATAAATTCAATGGTGCTGAGATATTTGCAAAACTCCGGACCGCAGGTGTATGCGGTGGGTAACGAACGCGCTATTGTCCCTTCCGGGGAGTAGCGCGTTCACCACCACACCATGCGGGTTATTCGTTTCGCCTGTCTCTCAGGCTAGTTCTATCCATGACGGGTGATTGTTGATGGCAAAAGATCGATAGAACTAGCTGAGGAACAGGCGAAACGAATGACCCGCATGGTGTGGTGGTGAACGCGCTACTCCCCGGAAGAGACAATTGCGCGTTCGTTCCCCACCACATACACCTGCGGTCCGGAGTTTTGCAAATANCAGCTAGAAGAAAATTAATTTGGGATCTATAAATTCAATGGTGCTGAGATATTTGCAAAACTCCGGACCGCAGGTGTATGCGGTGGGTAACGAACGCGCTACTCCCCGGAAGAGACAATTGCGCGTTCGTTCCCCACCACATACACCTGCGGTCCGGAGTTTTGCAAATAGCTCAGTATCATTGAAGTTATATTCCACAATGTTAAAAAAAGAGTAGGCAGTAAATAATAAGTTAAAATTGTAATTTGGAATCGCCAAAAAAGAGTGGTACTGCTCACCAAGGAAGTTTTACAATGTTTCGTAAATAAAGTAGGCATCGACCGTGTGCACTCATTTTTCGACCTACTGGAATTTTGCTAAATAGGTGGGTTTTACTCTCTGGATTCTAATGACGGCCGAGGTCTTAATCATAACTAGGGGTAGCCACCGAATTTTTTGAACCGTAAAAAAGTGTTTCAGTTCACAATTAGACTCTTTCTAAGAAGATTATGATTTCTGGTTGCAACTTAGCCGAGGCATTAGATGGAAATGTCAAACAGCTTCTCTGCTTTGCTAATTCTGTTAGGGAAATTTGTTCCCCACTTTGAACGGCAGATGGGTAGCCAAGAACTCTGCTGGTGACGGGCTTACTTTTAAGTAATCTACTTCGATCTTGAATTATGTATTAAATTGGCAGCTATGGACTTTTCTTTTCTATAGACAACATCTAAGTTCGCCTATGAATGAGTTTCGAGTTTTTGCCCTTCATAGATTTTCTTTGCATATTAAACAAGAATAATGGTACCTTCTTTGTTATAATGGTATTAAATACAAGCTGCTTAACTTTTTTTTGTAAAAAATGCAATACCGTAGTCTCAAGAAGTAAGCATAAAAGAGTCCGAAGGTGCTTTTCAATGTGTGTCTTCTGGTAGACGAAAGAAAACAGATGATGTTTTAGTTGAAATAGATGGAAATCGGAAGTAAATTTAATACTGTCATAAAAAATCTTGTGCAAGGATGCGACCACGATTTTTCTAAGTAGTAGCAATGAAAGAATTCACACAAAAATACCAATCAATATATTTCGAAGATTTTTGATCTCCATCTTTTGATGGAAGACATGGATGATCCTAAATTTTTATAAGGTCCTCTTTTACAGACTGTTCACCTTTCACTCCTGGTGGTTACCTTGGTCGATTGCTCGGACTGAATCCGCCTCCACTACCGAAACTTAAACAACTCTCACTTCATGTTGATGTCATGGTTGAATCGATTAGTGTCAGTTTTTGCCAGTCGATTAGAATAATGCATTTATTGAAGATAATATATCGCTGGGCTCAATCGAGTAAAATTCAGGTTTCGCCACTACGGTGCCCCAACGAAGACCTACAGTATGCTCTCTATGCGCTGTCTTCAGCGCCGTTTCGAACGTTTGTACAAGTAAGTTCTCTCAATGCATTTCTTTCCGATGAAACATAGAGCAGTCTTGAAGTTTCTGTTATTAATACCATTTTTGCTTTTCCTAATAGTTATTTCCGATGTTTATCCTAACCTGGGCCTGCATTGTATTCTCCTATGATATATGTCTGTATATAAATGTATGTTATTTTCTTATGCTATGCTTGTGCAGAAACTTCTGCTTCTTTCGGTTTTTTTGACACTTTTTTAAGGATATCCACTATTTTTAGCATATTTGTGAATACATGGGCCATATTTGAGTTTAGGTGAAAATATTTTAGCCTTTCAACTTCAAACAAACGCATCTATTCTCATAGCGAACTTGATTTTTGTTTTACTTTACACGAACCGTCATCACATCTACTATGCTGAACCCAGCAGATTCCACTTTTTATTCTTTTCCTCACATCAATGAAGAAAGTCTCTGAACTTTTCGCGTGTGAATTCGGTGCTGCTTGTGGAGGATTGTCATTTTGTTCATGAATGTCGTTGAATACTGGTCGATTCAACTCGCTCTGGAATCATAAGATAACCGGGTTAGGGCGTTGCTAGGTAGACTGAAGATAATGAACTGTCCCCATTCGAAACTTTTATCTATTGCTTGACTCGGAGAAGGATGAAAGGCATGTCGAACCCGGAGCGATTTCGAACCAAAACGGTGCTCGTGATCACCGACACCACCACCACTGCGCTACTCACTCTTAGACATCATCACTATAAAAATTACTGAACTCTACACAGCTTTACTAACAAGATAAAGTCTATTTGTTGTCCTAGGATGAGTTTTAAAATTTGTAGAGTTCGTGAACTGTTTTTTTCCTTTTCCTTTCGTATTTCGGGCATCAAAGCGATAGATCTGAGAGCAACTACGTTTTTGTGCGGCGGGACACGATGATGTCCTCCAATGCACGTGGTACGGCTTTCACTCCTGCGTTGGGAATTCTAATGATCCAAATTTTGGCCGCAATGATGCTGGGATATTTGCAAGACTGAGACCGCAGTTCAAATTCGAACCCGTGATTATGCTTTCCGCGGGCTCACGTGTTTCCTATCAGCAATCACGTATTAACGGGAATACCCCGCCGTGAAAAAATTATAGCTAGTAAAGAGAATGTTAGAGACTTCAACTGCGGCCCTAGCTTAACTGGGTTTAATGCAGATTAGTGCTTTCCAGATCATTCCCGTTGACGGGTGATTTCTGATGGCACTTAGAAAGTACAGCCAAGAGAAAGGAGAAACGAAGTACCCGCTTGGTGTGGTGGTAAAGACGTTTGCCCACGTAAAGGTGACAACGGGTTCAATCGCTATTGCAGACACCTGCAGTTCGGAGTTTTGCAAATATCTCAGCATCATTGTGGTTATATTTCACATCATACCCTGCTATGAAAAGAATGGTAAGCAATAAATTGGAAGTTACGCGATCTTGACTTATTTTCCTTTCCTAATTTTTAAAGAAATTTGGTTGTAATAAAGTCTAAAATTAGAGCGATGGCGCAAAATCTCCCCTATTTGACTAGCAAGTTCTTGTTGCGAACAGATTAAGTATTAGTCGTTGCTAAAGCACGGGGTTTTTCTGACCATAAATAAGAAAATGTCTGCAAGTTTTTGTAAAAATTTGTTAAGCCTTTTTTTAAGACATAAGATTATTGGTATAGTGAGCCTTCCCATACGTGATAACATTTCTGGAGTGTCAATCTATGAGCTGTAGACAACTGGAGCACTGGAAAGCACTAGCACTACTTACTGTTTAGATATTACAAAGCTTTGCCAAATTAAAAACGCAAATCAGAGCTGTGGTAGACACATTTCCTATAGATGTGTTTTTACAGGAAGCTTTGACCACACGAACTACTTTGTCTTATGTATCTTTAAGGATAGATATTTCATCTGTCCAGTGACCCATGTTTAACGACGCATCTTAGGATCCTTTATCGACTTTTTTTAGATAATGCTTGAATACCTCGCAACAGTTTACCACCTCAACAAGGGGATTCACCCCTGGCAGGGTCCCGAGCTGAGAAGGAATCCGGCGTTTCCATCAGAAATCCTAGCTAAGAGTAAGCCAATGCCAGGATCCACTATTGTCCTGGTATCAAAGTCGCATGGTGGCAAATCTTCCTCTGATCCACAAGGGCTGCAACTGCCTGTGGTTGTGAAGGCCTGGGGCAGATTTTGGCGATGTTGACCTCGAGATCCTAGAGAACAACAGTCACTTAGCCAGCAACCCTCCGAAAAATGGAGATTATGCTAGGGCTCGGTCAACCAGGGGGAGAGGGAGACCATTCAAATTTGTACTGTGTGGAAGACTGTGGAAGACCTTGAGATAATCTTGTAACGTAGAGTGTACATGAGTGCTCCAGCACTGAATATACGATGTTTTTAACACATAGCGTCATATATTGGTATTTTCTCAACTGACGATAATTCTTCGTTAACTAGAGCAGTTAAAAAGTTAAGAACTGCGTAGCTTGTACAATAGAGTTAGCCCACCCTCTAGATATTTAAATGATTCCTTCATTGATTTTAATTCTGTTTATAGTTGTGAGTTATAGAAAAATGAAAGCGATGTTCTTAACTTTTGAATTGCTAACGCAAGTGGGAAACCTTACGACCTCCTGTAGAACATTATCCTACGCTGTTTTACGAAACCACAATTGTTCGACTATTTCGGTGTTCGAAATGTGAGCCTCGACCAAGAAAAGCAGAAAAAGATATCCCTCTTCTGCAGCGTAATATTGGAGCCTTGTCGTCGTAGATAATGAGAACGTCTAACTTGTTGATGAATATCTGTACATTTTAACAGTTTTTATTTCAATTAGTAAACCCCACTGTCATCTGGGTTACGGTTGTTTAAAGTTGAAGGGCTGAGTTATTTTCGATCACACATGATCGCGTACAATTCACAATGTCCATTATATGGTAAGAATGCGATACTGCAAGGGAGATAAAATGCATATTATCGAAATCTTATCACAAGCTTATATTAGAATGATCAGTAAATACACCAACATATTAATGAGCTTAAGTTAAGCAGGTATATAAATCGGAATCCATGAGTAAATAGTCCATTTCAGATAAGCTTCTGTTGTGCACAATTTCGAGAAAGTGATGTTGGAGCGAGAAGTTACCTCATTGCTGGCATGGAGCAAACGCTTAAAGCTGCTGCTGAAGCCGGTGCTGACACGGAGTTCGAGGTGGAACCGGAAGAGGGTTAGATTTACGAATCTATGCTTACTTAGTTAATGGTTGCTCAGTTAGTTACATTAGAGTAGGACTGAGTGTTACACGGTCAAAGATTGGTTATCCTTTATGATGGACATAGTAACTACTCGAGTTATAGTTCATTTTTCTACTCTTTGTTTCTTTTCGAAAAAACACATCACCTTATAGTGGTTATGAGGTGTGATCCGTGTGATTTTTAGGTGTAGTGTTATTGTTTTTAGGTTTAGTATCAACCACGTTTCCTAACAAATTAATTGATCGATATTGATTTTTTAAGGATACGTCGACATGACCATTGAAAAGGGACATGTCGAGTATACGTTTGCGTTTTTCTACTATAATCCATCAATATGTGAACCAGCACCTACTGAAGAAATTGTTGATCGACGAAAGTCACCTGTATATGTTTAATATTCGGATATAGACGGTATTGTACTTTTTTGGCCAGACTGTAACAGTAAAGCATCACTAATTGTTTCGGATAAGTTCATATGTATTTGTTTTTTTTTAGCATAATGGGTTTTTTCTTCTCAGCACCGTCGCTCTGTTTTTTTTATTAGCATTTTAAACGAAATTTATACGTATATAATTGTAAATAGGATTCCATTAAGTATACATCGTTCCTCTACCAAATTATTGGTGTGCCACGTGGTAAGTATAGTTATCGATTTCGATGTCTTGTAATTTTCATGTCAGTTACATGATGTGTGTTTTTCAGTGTTTTGTTACAATTTTCTTCCACGGGTTTCAGATTCACCAAGGACAATAAAGTTTCTGTTGTATGATGATGACCACTTAGTTATCTATCTTTCATAAAGCTGCATTTTCCGGTGCGCAGTGTCGAAATAGGTTTGAAAAGAAAGAGAAGACAAGAAAAGGAAACAATTAGAAAGAGAATCAATGGATTTTTATATATTGCTGGTCGAAGGATTGGGATTTAATCAGGTTACCCTTTAGTGTTCGGCTTATCAAATTATTCTAGATGCAGCGGACCCCTTATTGTTCGATAATATCACTTGAGTTGAGAAAAAATAGGTTCTCAATAAAATTACTAAGGGCACTCCTACTCGAAGTAGTGTGATGACATGAGCTTTCGTCTTTTCAAAAGTAAATCTACTTATATGAGAAATATCCCAGTATGATGGTGATAACTAGTTTCTTGTCAAATACATTGGAAACAACAGGTTTGGACCATTTACGTTGCTCGTGTCCTCACTAATCCATCTGAGAAGCTTTGACTTGTGTTGGAGATCAATGAAGAATTTAGTGATGCCCATTCAGCTCCTGTATGATTAACTGAGCTACTCGGTGATTCGAGAGGATTAGTGCAATGTGTATAAGTTCCTTAAACAAGAAATGGGAGCTTTCCGATGACTTTTCTTCCCTTTTCAATTTTCAAACGCATTGATGACGACAATTTTCGGAATCTGGAAAACGTGTAGTAGCGGTGAAAAGAATTTTACGAGTAAATAGAAGTGTTTGGAAAAGCGCTATCTTCAAGGAAAAATTCGGAAAAAAGAACGGAAGTTCCTTTAGCAAGAAGTGATTACCCTGTTGGAAGTACCTCGTCTTGAGCGTTTGTAATGAAGCACTCATTTTATCTGAAGCGATCGAACCTCCACGAAGGCCTCTGACTTATAATCTTTGCAGTCCATATCACTTAGTGGCGCAAAAGTGTTTGTACAATACTAAAGGGAATAAGACTTATGGGAGGAAAGAAACGAAGGCGTGAAACAAAAACGAAAGAAAAGGAGGCAAAGAACATCACAAAAAATTGGCCAGATCAATGGAATTTTGTAAAATAAGACGAATACGGCGATTAATGTTAGAAAAATTATACTCCTATAATAAAATAATCTAACAGATAGCATCGATTCTCATCATTTCTTTCAAAATTTTAAATTTGACTGTGCTGCTCTCCAGTTCACATTTTTCTTCATAGTTATATTTGATCTCTAGTAGCTTCATCTAATAAACAAGATAACGTCTTCACAGTTGCTACAAGATGACTGTTCATTAGTTCATGGAAGCAATTGAGATTTCTTAGAAAGTAGAACTTGTTTCCTAATTTAGAAAACTTTTTACAACTAAAATTGCGTTGTAAGTTTTATTTCTTAAAAATGTTGCGGAATTTTTTGAATTTTATGGTTGATCATTCATTATGGTTCATTTTGTTCGATTTGCTTTTAACTGACGTAAAGAATAGTTTACATAGTTTATCGTCAAGGCAAATAATAGCCGAAATATATTAATGTAACACAATATAACAGTATAATACATAACAACCTAGTAAAGGAATATTCTCCAACTGGTCACTATTGCAGGATTTTGTTTAAGTACAAGAAAACCTTCATTTTTTATTAACAGTAACCTAGAAAGTAGGTGCGTTTATAATGGAAATGCACATCGACATAAGCCAGGAGCATACAGAATTGACAATGTGATCTACGGCTAGCAGATCAATACCCGTCCATTGTACCCGCACAATTTGATCTTCGCAGACTTGGCACCGAAACAAAGATCGTGCGGTTTTTGCAACGATCGTGCTCACACGTCTCTCCCGTCTCCACGTAGCTCTTCGGACATCCTAAATCTTTCATTTGTACCTCATTCCTTCCTCCGTTCTTATAAATCCACCTTTGCTGAGTGAACACCAAAGTTATCTTGCTACTCATATTGGTTTTGCATGTAGTCATGTTTTGTACGCATTGTTTACCTATAATTATGGTAATCTCTTCCTGTCGCATAATCTAAGTAATAGTACATGGTGAATTTTTAATTGCTCAAGTTTGAGGCCAGTGTGACTGCATTATACATAGTCACTAGCTTAAATTTTCTACTATTGCTCTTCTACACTTTTGGTAGCAAATTTTGAATACATTCAAAAGGATTTCTTAAGACTCTATAAAGAACAAAAATTTCCACTTCTAATTCTACCAAAACTTCAAAACCCATCTCTTCTTGTACCTGTTTCTATCAGTTTCTCTCTGTTAGTGACTATTCCACTTATCACCAGACTTCTCGATTTCGGTGATCTCCAAACTTGTTAAGGACGCACACGGTACTATTACGAAAGTCAGCGTTGCTTTATCTTGCTCACTGTCTTAAATTCATCTTTTTAGGGAATAGCGGTTCCAGAGTCTGAAATCTATATCGTCGTGTTATCAGCTGTAAGCTAACGTTGCAATGATGTAGTCAGCTTTCCATTTAAAAGGTTTTTCTTCCAAAACTATTATGAGACTTTGGGAAACTTCCGTACAATGTTGCAAAGCTTCGTTTACAGTGTCGACACATTTTTTCCATCATCACTATGTTTTATAATCAAAATGTTGCTCATCGTGCAAAATATCTAATTCATTTGTTTCGAATTAGATAAAAATAACATATCTTGCGGTGATATGTTATTTTTCTCCACGTTCCCAGCCTCCACGTTCAAAGCCCAGCAAGCCACATGTGGGTATCAAAATGCTAAACACAGGAAAAAAAATGGGCCTCATTCCCCTGACCCCGAAAGAGTCCCCAATTTCGTAGCCTTGGATAGGACGAGTACGGAGAGGCTGCAAAAATCTTAGGGTTAATGGAAGCTGTCTGGATTACAAAGAACTATGGTGACTATTTGTCCTACAGTGCGCGTACACTTGTATCCAAGTCCTCGATAGAGGACTTGCTCATGTAAGCAAGAAGGATAAGGTACGACGCCATGGGCCTGGCTGAGACAAGACGCCACCCATTCAACGCCGTCTATGACATCGGAGAAGAACTGTTTCTCGGGTCATGCGATAATAGAGGAGTCGTCGGCGTCGGGGTTCTCGCCAACACGAATTTGTCCACGAACATCGATTTATTCGAACAGCTTACAACCCGAATCAGACCTTTACGAATAGAAAGGTGTAGAACAACACCAGCTTTGACAATTCTCGTCGTTTACGCGCCGACATCAAACTATGACGGAGAAGAAGTCGAATGGTTCTATAAGGACTTGGAGAAGTTCTATAGAGAAGACCATACATTCTTCATGGTAATTATTGGAGACTTTAACGCCAAAATTAGACCAAGAGGATCGTCTGAAGTACGTCACATTGGGACCCACGGATTCGAATGGAACGAGCAGGGTGAGCGGCTAAGTGAGTTGATCATGGTGACCAAGACCACCCATGGTAACTCGCAATTCCAGAAGCCCACCCTCAGCGCTAGACGTGTGAGACTCCCAATGGTGATAGGTTTTGGCTAACTGATGTCGCTATTGACTCAAAATTCTATAAGGAATAAGACCACCGTCTCTTTCGTGCAAAATTCTATTTCTCGCCGCAAGGAGAAAAAGCTGCTGAATTCAAAAACCGAAGTCCCAGGGCCACGGCAAACTGGGAATTATTCAATTCATTAGTCGGCTGTAGGGAAGATGCCGTTGCCGGTAACATCGACGAAGACTACGATCGGCTCGTTCAACATCTTTACGATAGAGCTATGGAAGCTGAGAGTTCGAAAGTCCACCAAGAGACGTCTGTCTCCAGAACCACTCGAGCTGATACGCCAGCGTGGAATCGCAAGAGCTACGGACAACCGCGAACTAGCGTCCGACCTTGCAAAACAATGCAGAAAGGCGATAAAAGAAGATCTTAAAGAGAGAAGAGCAGCATTAATGGTCGAAGCTGCAGAGGTTGAGAAAAGCACTCGCAAAGCTCACCGAATCTTCGCCAATTACAGGACCAAGATGATTGCACTCCGACGCCCCAGACAGAACCGTTACAGCACCCAGAAAGGCAGTGGAGAAAATCATTCACGAATACTGCTCGGAACTCTTCAATAGCCACGTCTTCCTTCCCACATGAAATAAGGGAGGATGGATACGTCGTACCACCGATTCTCCCTTCCGAAATCCAGCATGCTATTTTGTGTTGAAAAATCGAACAGCACCAGGGCCGGACATAGGACCAGAACACCTGAAGAACTTTCCGCCAGTCCTCGTAAACACAATGGCTCGGCTCTTCACACGTTACCCGTCTGAATGCAAGGTGGACCACATCTACACGATAACAAGGCTCAGTGAAGTATCACGAGAGTACAAAAGACCGCTCTGTCTTACTTTCATCGATTTACAGAAAGCCTTTGATTCAATTGAGATAGAAGTAGTCATGGAAGCGCTTGATAGTCAAGGAGTCCCTACTCAGTACATAAAGATTCTTCGTGAGCCGTACAAACAAAAATTTCACGACCAAGATTTCACCGTTCTACAACGATATTAACATCGACGTCAAAGAGGGGCTAGGCAATGCGATACTATCGCGCCAAAATTATTTACCGCCATCCTCGAGAACGTTATGCGAACACTGGAATAGGACAAAATGAGTGTGAAAATCGATGGTCGGCAGTTACACCATCTTCGCTTTGCTGATGACATCGTCCTTATAACACCAAACATTAGCCAAGTGGGACGTATGCTTGCCGACTTTGATAAAGCCTGTGGAAAGATTGTTCTTCCATTAAATCTCACAAAAACGATGTTCATGAAAACGGATTAGTTTCTTATACGTAATTCACGCTCAACGGAACGAATATCTCCGAATGCTCCAGTTATGTCTATCTAGGACGGGAAATCAATATAATGAACGCCCTAACTCCAGAGCTGAGCAGAATGAAACGGGCTGCTTGGAGAGCTTTCGGGAGCATCAAGGATGTAGTGAAGAGAACAAAGAACACCCGACTCCGTACCCACCTTTTCGACTCAACGATACTTCCTGCTCTAACGCATGCGTCAGAAACCTGGTCGCTGCGTAGGCAGGATGAAGGATCACTCAGCGTTATCGAACGCGCAGCCGATAGGACGATGCTAGGAGTATCCCGTTTCACACAAATAAGGGATGGGATCCGAAGCTCCGACCTGCGTCAACGATCAAAAATCAAATATGCCGTTCTGTGCGCTAAACAGTCGAAGATAAGGTGGGCCGCACGCGTAAGGCGTATGAATCAGGGGACAACGTTTCTTTTACTGTTTTGAGTGTCCCTAGAGTGAGCAGAGCCCACTGGCCTACTCTTGCACGCGACATGGAAAATGGAAGATTTACTGGCCCGCGCTCGAGTCACTCAACGATCAACAGATCTACAGGTGATACAGATGATCATTTTTCACGGCAGGGTATTATCTAAGATATAACCACAGTGATGCCGAGATTTTTGCAAAACTTGGATCCCAGATTCGAACCCACAACTTTTCTTTCCGGGGTGCACGTGTTATCCACTGCACGCAAAGGCCTCAATGGACCAGTGGTTTACACAAGAGCTCACAGAAAGAGTAATCGCAAATTCGAATATGTTTTTGGGTCCAGGTTTTGCAAATATTTCAGCATCATTGTGGTTGTAGCTCAGATAATACTCTGCTGTGAAAAATAATAAGCAGTGAATAGGAAAAACTGCTCACTTATGATTTGGTCCTTTACAGCAGACGTGAGTGTTTGGATCGCACATTTGCCCTTGTGAACAGTCGGCGGAGTGATCACATCGAATCAGTTGGTTGTTGCGGTCAACGGATGGTTCACCACGTAATCCGATTGTGCACATCACGCCTGTTCAGGTGAAAATGTTCATGTGAAATGAGAAAGTACTAAAATGGGCTTTCCCTAACAGTTTTCGACACATTTTCCACCTTACATAACACCTACAAAAAAGTTTTAGGAGTTCGCACGTTTACTGATGACAAAACAATCCGTCTTTCTTGCTTAATTCTTGAAGAGTTTCGAAGTTTGCTAACATTTTCGATTAATGTTAATCAACCTTAAGCAAGAATGCGTCTTTCCTTTACGCAAATTCGTTGTGATGGTTCCTTAGTACTCATTCTTTCGCTTACTACGTCATCACAATGAGGGTGTGTTTTTGAGTGTTGAACTGTTGTGTCCAACACGATGTGGCTAATCCCCTTTGTTAGGACATTCGACTTAAGAAAGATGCCAACATAGTTTTGATGTCGACCAATTGAGGAAGTATCAGCAACGAACGAAAGCCAGTCCATCCACTCTGTGGAGGATTCATTGCGAAGTGGTGAACTGGAAATCCTTCACTTATTTATTACGTTTTACAAAGACTAATCATTGCTTGCGATAGTAAGTGGATATGCTCGGACCTCTGTGTGCTAAAAGAATCTAGGAAAATCTTGTCTCTGGCATCTAACGATAACAGCAAATTCGATCATCCCTTATTTTCTGCCCTAAATATTTTTCCTTCTTTCTTTTTTTCTTTTTCCTTATTTCGTGGTTCAGTTTCTGTCTAGCACAATTTGTTTCCGCATTTTCCAATGCAACTTTTTCCTCCTATTCTTCTGTTCAGATAAGACGTGACTCACGCTTGCATTCTCCATCCATGTGACTGAAGCCGGTGGGACAAGCACAAGCTCCTTTGATGCACTGCAGAGGTGAACTTTCGGAAAACTCGTCAGAAGAATTACGCAATGGTGAACATTGTGGGTTAACCTGAATCTATTTTGCTATGCATAAGATAATGGGTGTTACAAGATAATCCTCTACCCTAACGGTGAACTCACATGGCAGCTGTCGCCATAGAATGCAGTGGGATAGCATTGTCCATCATGGTAGATATCTTCCGGTGAAATACATGGCTTAGGACAACAAATCTAAGCGAGTCTAGATCATTTGAGATAAACCACCATCCATGACATCGACGTACAGATTTATCAGCCAAGAAAACATCTTTGTGGCAATAATACTCAGCAGGACAGTTGATGCATCCATACTTCGGCGGAAAACTAGTCTCGTGGGGCACGCCTACTGGACACACGGGACGGATTGCTATGGGCGATGGGCAGCAGAACCCCTAAAATCCGTTGATTAGATTCCTACAACAATTTATTTCATGTCCCGATCAAGTTTGCATTACCAGGTAGTATCCAGGTTTCAATGCGTCATCAAATAATGGAACGCAATAATATTCGTCAGGACAATCATCTCGATTACTTGATAACCAATGAGCTAGCAGTGAACTTGAGCCTGAAATTTTTGTCCTCATTAAATATTTAGCGCTAAAAACCTCAAAAAAGTAATCATGAAGAGAGCAGCTAGTGTAGTTGAACGTTTTATAAAATTGTTTTCAGAAATATTAATCTACTTTGAGATCGACTAAAAAAGATGTCTAACCTTCGGGATATCTAAATGACCTTATTTGTGTTCATCTATCTGGCCCAGTTGCCCTCCATAAGGTTAATCATATATGGGCGTAGCAATAATTTCTTTCTATTCATTGCTATGTAGAGCGGTCTAATCAATTCTCACTGAAGTTCTTGCGATCGAAAGATCATCTAAGGTGAACAGGCGCTAGCAGCTAAGAGTGCGCTTATGCCACGACAAAGGCCACTGGCTATCTTCTTGCCGAAAGCGGTAAAAATAAAGAGCGTTATATTAAAGCCGTGGTGAAATAAATAATGGGTAACAAAAGTGGTTTTGAAAAATGAATTTCTGACAAGAATATCGCTAATGTCTAACAGAAGAATTCACTAGTTATGCCCTAATTTAAGCCTAAGAATATTTTGACGTTTTCGTTCGGAAGATGGTGATGGCTTACCGAATTCTAGAAGTAGTCGTAGCCCTAGAAGAAAACCTAATCAGAAATTCACAAACATCCATCGGGTTTTCGAGGGCTGACAATGCCTTCGGTAACAACATGGAAGTGCTTTGGCACGGATTTCTCGGTTCTTGGAAAAGAATGCCAAACAAGTAAGGTACTAATTACAAAAGAAATGTACTGTTGCCATGATGAATTTGCGTAAAGGAGAAGCAATCATACATTAAATATCGAAACTATGAAGGTCTTCTGTGATGCAGAGTTTAAGGGGTTACCAACAATGGCGATTGGCTTTTTTTACGTTATTAACGGTACGGCAGTCACTGTTGGCTCTTCGAGTGCTGCCATTCTATAGATCTTTCCTCAATTTTATCAAAATCAAAATTTAGAAATTTCTCAGTTCGAGGCGCACTAATGGAAGGACAAAATCCGCTATTCGTAACATTCAAACACCCTAGAATTTATCCCCAGCCACGATGAGGTGCTAAACCATCGAGAGATAAGTTTAGTTAGAATCGAAAATACGGCCATAAAATCGATTAATGATAGAACACTGGAGCCATTATTCCAAAGTGGATGTTAAACTGATTACTAGCAAAATTTATCATCTTTCTCTAAAGAAGTTGTTAAATACTAGAATTAGAATTTACAAGCAGTATTGATGAATAGAATAACACGTATAATTGAAGTAAAATGAGACCCCAATACTGCTAATATATTTGCAAAATACCGCACTGCAGGTGTCTGTGGTGAGGATCGAACGAGTTACTACTCTTTCCGGAGACAAACGCGTTCACCACCACACCATGCGGGTTCTTCGTTTTTGCCTTTCTTCCATCCGTATTAGAAGTAAAATATTCGTAACAGTAAAATATCATATGAACTAACGTGAAATATTTTTTGTTCCACTTTCAATCACCGTAACATTTTTTTTCAACCTGTTGCTGAATAGGAGTTTCATCGCTGTGGCTTTCATTGAACAGATGACAATCCCTGTAGAAGTGAACAACGGCCTGCCATTATTAATGCATTCATAGCCTAAATGGCATTCAAATCAATTATTAATAAGATTTAAGCATCTGTGATTTAAGATAAGAAAAAAGGTTGGATTTTTAAACATAGTCCTGGTAGTCGCCGAATGCTGACGACAAGAACAACCATTCACGTTACAGGCAAAAGTTGAATTTTAGAAATTCGCGTAAACTAGTAATATGAAAGTTATAATCACTAAATTTATGATTTCACTTAGGATAGTTATTGGCTACTGAGAATAGCAGCCTTCAACGAAGGAGAAAAGAGGTGAATGTTAAGAACACAGAAAAAAACCAGTTATGGGGAATCGTGAGCATTACTCTTTATTAAATTTAGGTCGCCAGGGTCAGCTTTTTCTTTACAACGACCTTTGCAAAGAGTTTTAACCTTATTAAAGTTTTCAAACGCTTACTTATAGGCTTGCATCCTCCTTTACCGTCTCGCTGAAAGCCGTTCTTACACCGACATCCGCCAGTGGAGCACTCAGAAAATGCCGCCGAACATTCCATATCCGTTTCGCATTTTTCCTTTGAAAAATATTTCATGAATTTATTTCGTATTTGTGTTATATACTCATCTCTGACATTTCTTTTTTTAAATTATGATGAATAGGATGGTTAGGTCATTTCACTCCAAAACGCTTTCGATATACTTAACTCCTTCAGCTTGGCTATCTACTAGGCGATGAAATCGAGAAATGTAGAAATTTAACGGGCTCAGTGGAGTGGTAGGTGTGGCCTCAGGCATACTCATTGGCTTTGGGGCCTTATGAACCTAGACAAGGGTTTCAATATTTTTTCCTTTTAATACTTTTTATGCAAGAAACTTTCTTCTTCAATCGATCAATGAGCGATCGATGGATAGCAAAATAAGAATTCTTCTGAAAAGAAATAGTGATTTTGTTTGTCGTGTGACACTTATGTTTTTACCTGTTGATCATTTTACCTGCTAGCGCGATTTGGCTTTGTGCTTAAACAAACTAAGAACTTAGATATAAAATATCATTATTATTCCCAGGACCGACTTTCTATTAACCCTGGTACTGATTGAGTAATTCTCTATATATCTGTTTAGCAAACGCGACGTGCTATTTTATCTCTTTATTTACGCATAAGCTGACGTTTCGGCGGATTTCGCCTTTTTCAGAGCCTGGAAAAGTCAAATTGATTGCAATCTACCCGGCAAAACACCTCTATAACCAAACAGAAAAAATGCCAAACCAAAATTTCGGTCACATTGAACACAGAGTAGCTTCTTTGCGGACTCACCGCTTTCTAGAAAGGAAGGCGAAATCCGCCGAAACTTCAGCTTATGCGTAAATAAAGAGATAAAATGACACCTCGCGTTTGCTAAACAGAAATATAAAGAATCATTATTATTATTTCTATGCATATTTAAAAGCGCGCGTGTGACGAAATGATCGGAGGTGTCCTGCAGTATACACTTAGGACTGATCCTCACGCTGGTGGCTCACCGATCCTTCCATTCCTCCGAGGTGGGCAAATTGGTACCAGACTAATCTCGGAGCATAGCAAATTCCAGTTATACATTCAGCCATCTCCAACGATGCTTAATGAAGTTGAAAGCATGGCGCATCCCAAAAGAATTGATGAACGTTGACAGCTTTCTCCTTTTATTTTTTATGCATACTGACAAAGTTCTCACGTGAAGTGCCGTAGTCATCGGAAAATTGTCGTTTCGGTCTTCGTCGGTTACGACCAACATACAATTTCATGTGAATACAGTTGTGTTGAATTGATGTTCATAGTGAGTAGCGTTTAGTTTCATTTCTTAACCGAAATATCTAGAAGGAGCTAATCTAAATTTCTTTCCAAGCAACTGGGCTTAGTGTAATGTCACCTACAAATCCACCTTTTTCACTGTTGTCTCCGCGTAGTTCTGCTACTATTATGCTGTTTTCTAACATATCAGTTTTAATTAAAAAAAACCTCATTACCTTCAACCTTCTTCGTATTCTCTGACAAGTGCGACGATCTGCACTTCTTGTATAACCTAACTCAGTTGGACAATCGCACCGACATCTTTTGTCCACGTCGCACATGCACGCGGCGCCACCTTCGCATCCGTCGCGTTCGGTGCACTCTTCACCAAGCCATGGCCGAGTTTTCACTAAACGTGAACGTTTTCTGAAGCCACAATTTCTTACTTGCTTATCTATTTATTGTTTTATGCGACGCGACACCATGTATATATATAGCGCTATGGTTGGCGGAGCCATGCAGTGCACCGAGGTTCAAGCCCACTGCCCACGATCACTTCCATCCATCCACCATCGCTAAATTGAAACGACAGCTGTCTGCAAGGATGGCAGCACTGAATAAAAACATCGGTAGGTCATCACAAGTCACTGTATAGGCGAGTTCAGTCATCACTAACGATGCCTAATAGAGTCAAGTGCACCTGTCAAGGTTTTATCAACACCGGGACCTTTATCTTTTCGTATTATGCAAGTCCCAGTATTTCGTGCACTTAATTTGTTACCTCATATCCATTTTTCACGAGGTCCTTTGAATACGGATTCGACTGCTTTTTGAGGGTTCTTTGGTCTCCTTTCTCAGCGCTGACGAATGCTGCTCGAATCGACTCTAGTTGGAAATCTGAGATAGCCACGCTCGCGGGATCTCGAATCGTTATATTATTACCAGCAGATGCTAATAATTGCGGATTGGAGAGAACGAGGTGCTCCTAGGTGAGTCTGCCCCCAACATCCCGAGTCTGGAAAAGTAGAGACAAGACAACGCTTCATTCTTTTTACAAAGGTTCTGCTTTAAAGAAGTTGAACGAGCTGTATAAAGTGTAATTCCATCATTTCCCAATCCACTACCTCATTTCACTGAACGAAAACCCACAATATCGTTCACATCTTAAATGTAGCCGTGAGTACAAAATCATTTGTGCGGAAATCTGTAATTGAGGTATTTCAAAATTGCTTGCACATTGGAATAAATATTTCTTTTTTACGTCTCGATTTGAAAGCCACGGAAAAAATATGTATTTGCTGTACTTTGTTATACTTATTGTTTTGGGAGTGTTGATGGCTCAGTGGTAGTGATGCGCGTTCAACAACCGCAAAGCAATGGCTCGACACTGCACGGGAGCAGTTAGGCTCCCTATCCCTTCAGGTTATTGTGACAGCCAGACTTGTCTCAGTTCAAATTACTCTCTGAATTCCATAAAAGCGGATGATTGCCTGTGACAAAGATAGGGTAAGTCCCTAGCATGGCTATTCCGGTATTACAAAGAATCTTGACTGAATAAGCATTAAACCATATTCTTATAGAACACTTAGAATTCTCTAGCAGTACACGAACTAGCAGGAGAATCCAAATACTTTCGTGGATGATAGATTTAAAAAGACGGATCTAATACAAGGTGTTATGGGAGTCGCGCATTATGTCGAGTCATGTGAAATAAAAAAAATTACCTTCTTTTATTGGTAAGATGACACGAGGTTGTTACGAAACATCCACTCAGCTAACGTTTCGACGTTTTCGTCTTCTTCGGAGCCGACGATCCGAGTGGACGTTTCGCAGCAGCTCGTGCTTTCGATGTGGTGCTTTTGACTTCGTATCGAGTTAAATTTTCTTCAGTGGAGCACAGTCGGCTGAACTAACCTCACATGGCGATCTCTTTTTGTAGAGGGCAGTTGCTGATACTGATTGCTCGTTAATAACAATAATTTGAAAGAAGACACATTGATTATGCACACCGAAATTGGATCCTGGTGCGGTTGAATAGTGAAAAGTAATGAATGGCATTTCCGAAAAGTATTTAAGTCTTCACCAGATGGTGCCAATGTCACCGTTGCACTCTCGTCCTTGCAACAAAATCCAGTCTTCGTTTCACAGTAACCGCCATCTGGACACGATGTTATTCGTCCAAATTTTGTCTGAAATGTGAAGCTTTCTAGGTGAGTTGTATTTTTGGCATTTTACAAACCATATATGAATGAAGGATATAGTTAGTGGCTCTATTTCACCTGACAGATGATCGGTTTGTTTGTTCCTGCATCTATTATGGTCTTTGTTGGCCGAGGACATGTCCGTATTCCTAAACAATCAATACATCTCTAATTTAATTCACTCACACAAAAGTTTATCAACGGGCCTCTTAAAGTCGTTGAAGAGAAAATTTTAACTTATTCTCTGTGTTTTACATAAAATTGTTCAACTTTTAAAGTTCTAGAACGCTCTTGTAACGGAAAATCTGAACTGACATTGATAATTCGGTGTCCAATGAACTGAAGCGGATTCATGAAGCAGGGAGGTGGAGGGATTGTAGGGTAGCAAAAGCAGGTTGAAGCATTGTGAACTAGGTTATATCTGATTGTGAGCAGCTTTTCTAAGAGTTTTTATTCTACTTTTTTATTCTATTCTTCTAAATTGTTGGCAATTTGATCTAAGACGATGTCCGTAGGAGAAAATAAACCTGAAACTGAATAGGTTTTATATTCATAGAAATTAGTTAGAATACTGAGTTTTTATACTGAAGTAAGCTAAAACGTCTTTTACGAGAAAGTCGCTGCTCATCTACAGAACGACATAGAGGAACAGAAAGTGAAAACGGAAAGGGGAAAGCAAGAAGGCAGGAAAGTCTAACCGAAATTACTTTCACCGGTTAAAAAAAACCAATAGTAATTAAAGAAAATACACCAGATTTTTGCATAGAACGATAGCTGCTAACTTTTTATTTTATGTGAACATTTTATGCAACTGTGTAGAATACTCATACATAAAAAAGCTGCATGTGGGGCAGTGGTCGGAGGCACCCTGCAACACACACGTGGAATCGTTCCTTGCGCCCATGGCCCTCAAAACCTTCTATTCCTCCAGGGTCGGCAAATTGGCACCAGAGTTGTTTGGAAGGATAATAGCACTGGCTCGATACATCGGTAGACCAGCAGATATGCATTCATTTACCTCCAAACGATGTTTAATGAAGTCGAATGCATGGCGCATCCCTCCCTCAGGGATTTATCAACGCTTGGAGCTTTATCCCTCTAGCTTTGTGTAAAACACTCACTGGGCTGCTCTCATTTTTCCTCAAAGCAGAGAGGTGACTACTTTACAAATTTTTTGTCAGTTAGTTCTAATGGGATGCTAGGACAATTCCTATTGTTGAAAACAAATATACAGGAAATTCATTTAGATGATATTTTAACTGTGCCAAAGTCATTTAAAAAATTCATTTCTTTAATAAAGAATGCACAGTTAAACGAAGTGAATGGATAAACATATAAGAAAGCAGATACTGACTTGTACAACAGGCACCATATTGAGGGTTACAAATCTGATCTGCTGGGCATTCACTGAGGTGATCACAGGTCGCAAGGCTGCCGCCATACCCGGTCAGAACCCTGCCACCACCTGGGCAGTAGTGCTCGGATGCGTCTGGAAATGAATATTTATCACATATAATGATTCGACTGTAATGTTGATAATACTCATGAAAATTTTTTATGTAAATAGCTTAACATAGGAAAATAGAACTCGGAATTTGGCCGTTGGCCTTAAACCATCACTGAAAACCTAGTATGTCATGAGATGCTTTCAAGTATTTAATACCCAGTAATGTAAGCCATGAATCAGTAATAGTGTTTGAAAGAGTTAGAAAATTTTCCATTTATTTAAATCAGTTACGTAGATCCTTCTAGACGAGACTGAATATCAGAAATCAAGTCATCAACAGAAAGAACTAGAGTCTTTCTTCTGTTTGCTTAGGACTGTCTGCATTTTATTCGTTCGTTTCTTCTTAGTGCGCCTTAGAAATAAGTAAGTGCTTAGAATATTTTAGAATTAAATTGCTGATTCGTTGATAAAAATAGTAGGAGTGAAACCTTTTGAGAGCTCAGTAACACAATAAGGATAGAAATTCTGCAAAAGACGCTTTGAACATGCGATCTACAGTGTTGCCCTGTATTTGTATGGTCTTTTCTGTCCACCATACGTGGTTCCGCCTGTTTTTTTTTTAAATCTGTCGTATTCAAAATTTATTTGGTTTTGTCGCAAATATTAGTGAACGATCCGAAAACGCATATCCTTTTGAAATAATAGAAAAAATTATTGTGCGCATCTTCTTTTTGAGCAAAGTAGGGTAGCTCGTTTATTTGAGGTCCACCAGGCGAACATTCACGATTTCCTAGCTCACCAGAAATCAGATTCTTAGCTGGTCTTTGTGGGAAGCACATGGTAACTGTTCGACCATTTATGATTTGACACGTCCTTCCCTGAATGTCCTTATATTTCCTGAAAACCTCGTGCAGAGCATTTCTATTGCTTGACGACGGTTTTACATTTTCTAATACCTGGCAACATTGATAAACCAATTGGTAGCTAGATAATCTGCACCGATTTTCACAATAAACCTGGTCACTTTGACAAGGTAAACCAAGCTTCCACGGAGAGCGAAAGGATTCTGTCCTTTCGTCTGTAACACTGTTTTGGAAGGTCACCAATAGAAGATACCAACTTTAACGGAACTGCCACGACCGACTTTCTATTAACCTCGGCATTGATCAAGTGATTTTCTTCGTATTCGTATTTTCGAAAATCATTTAACGGAACTCTACGAGTTGTTAGTAACGATGGAAAGCTAAAGTGTAACACACTCGGTATGTTGTTAATCAGGGTATTAGAGTAATAGATGGACTGGTGCAGAGCTTTTGTGGAAAATTTTCTTATTTCGTAGCATTTCCTGAATGTCTACATGTAACATGCCGTACAGGCCAGGGTTAAGGGTGAAATATCGAAAACTTTCTGTCATCTGCCCTTTATGCAAAAATTTACCAATAGTTGTAGCTGAATGTTTTTGAACGACATGTTCTTTAATAGAAAATTTTCCTTCATTTCTACTAGATTGATATGATATAACATCGTTTTGTCGGCCGGCTTGATAACCCCATTTCTTAGTAGGGTATTAAGGTAAATATATCGGTCATATTAAGTGGATTATCGCCGAATTTAGAAATAGTAATACGTTGTAGTACATCGATCAGTTCGTCCGGACACTATCAGTTCATACAAAATCAACGTAACAGCTCCGTCGTTCCCAGAAATCGAACCGTCTGATCTGATCACCCTCGTAGCAACTTCGACCTTTCAAAACGTGTTTCGTTATTTCAATCAGCATGCTGATGAGTTTAGAGATGACTTCAGAGGTGATAGATAATAAAATTAGACAATAAAATTGACTAGTAGGGCTTTTTATAAGCTGCTATAAGCTCGTGTGGCGCAGTGGTCGGAGGCACCCTTCAACATACAAGTGAAATCGATCCCAGCGCACATGGTCCACCAAGCCTTCCATCCCTCCAGAGTCAAATTGGAAAATTGGTACCAGACTTGTTTGAGAAGATAGTAGCACTGGCTCGATACATCGGTGGGCTAACACGAGTCTTTGTAAAGGCCAGATATGCATTCAATCACCTCCAAACGATGCTTGATGAGTCGAAAGCATGGCTCATCCATCAAGGGTTTATCAACGCCGAGAGTTTTATCCTTTTTATAAGCTGCTAAAAGGAAATTATGAGAAGGGATGGGAAAGACAAAAAGATTTATGCGTTTGTTTAGAAAAAGATCATTGGATCATATAGAAGTGAATTTCTAATGTACGTACAAGAATTCTATTGGAAGGCAGCTGCAGTTTTCTTCTGTCATCAGCTCTACTACTCCTATTTCACTGTCTACTAAACAAATTCGATTCTTATTAATTAGAAAACTTACCAGATATTGCTATAAGCACAATCAGCAATGATACCATAGTTTCGAGTTGAAAAAAAACACAGATTAAGTAACAATAGTGGACGTGACGCTTGGCTGAAATGACGATGTGACACAGGTGTGCTTACACAAGCGCAGCGCTGACTAAATGAGCTTCAGCGATGCTCACGATGTTCTTGTTCACTGCTGTAGACGATGATAAAAATAGAACCGAACACTGGAAACGATTTCATTTTATGGAATTCCAGGGTTTTCAATCAAAAATATCCGTGGCATATCTTCTGCTGTACTCAGCGCAGTTCTACTCGACCGTATGATTGGCAATGATAATTCAATGATTTCAATAGCACACTGATTATGCGAAATTTTCGGCAGAATTCCTGAGCTATTAAGCAATTTTTCGGATATTCACCGATTGGCAAAATTCATTCCTTATTGGAATTTTAGTTGTAATGTCGTTAAGATAGTGAGTTAGGGACTCAACTACTTCTTCAGTGACTTCTAGGAGTATAGTTCACAGAAATAGCACTCACGAATTAAAACCTAGAACTTTCCTGATTAAGTTTACTTTGAGCTGAACGGTTCTTAGAAAATGGATGGAATTGTGAGGAACAGAGGAGGAGCGTTATTGACGTCAAACGAGCAAGCGTTTGACTACACTTCAAGAATATCCTTGTAAATGGAGGTGCTGCAGCTGTTTTCTAGCCAATAACTTTTTGGGCTTCGTATAACCTATTGATGAGCTAATGTCAGCTTGTTAAAAAAAACAGTTTATTCGGCTCTTCGACGTCTTTATCTTCCTGATAGCCGATGATCCGAGTCGATGGCTCAGTACCTAGTCGACTCTACCTCAATGGAGCATCGCCCAAGTAAAGAAACCTGATTCGTCGGTGCTCTGAGTGGTTCTTGATAATGATTGTCTGTTGATGGTGATTTGTTCCTATCCGGACAATCCATCCAGCAGTCGTCACCATTATGAGCTGGCACACGGCGGAACAGTATTTCAAAACCCGACTTTCCTCTAACTTCAGCATGCCTAATCAGCAAGCATTCTTACTGTATTATTCATAAGGCAACACGAGGCTAATGAAAACAAAATCAGGTTTCTTGAAATATTATTACGCTCTGCACTAACTGATGCAATATTTTTTAAGGCATTTTACGTCGACTGCTCAACTGCTAACGAAATGGACGAACGAGACTGCCGGATTGATTCATGCCGATTGCCCATAGCTGTTCGTTCCACGACGACCACTATCACGAGAACCAACATTTGTGGACAATCGACTGTAATCTATCCACCTCCGAAGAGAACGAAGATGGCATAGTGTCAGTCGAATAGAACTTATCAGCAAACTCGCGTTTGTTTAGTAATCGAAGAAAATATTGGTTATTTATCCCAAGGTTATGTGAAGGTTGATTTTTAGGGGAAGATTGGGCGCTTATAAATGGAATGCTATAATCTATTGAAATAAAACATAACGCAGTCATATAACTTGAATCGTAGCGAGGTACAGTAACAGTCAATCAAATCATTCTGCAATGTTGCCGCTAATGTTAAAATTAGTACTAGTAAGAGCAGAAAATTCCTTAAGGAAAATGACCTTTCTTTGTCACATTATGAAAACGAAAACGAACCAATGTATCCAATATGTAACACCTTTGCGGACTATAAGCGGCTCTAGGCTCAACAGTAGTGGTAAAGACTGAGCAGAAGAGAAAAAGCCGCCTCGTAAAAGGCTACTGTTTCACTACGAAAGTACTTTAGAACAGGTGTTTTTTAAAAAAATATATGCATATATATACATATATATATGCATATAAAAACAGTTCTCACAACACACCCTGCCATGAAAAAAGAATAGGGAATAAATAAAAATTGCTCACATTGTGACTTATACTACAGCTGCAGCTCATTGGATTCAGTGCCGATTTGTGCCTTCCAGATCAATCCCGTTGACGGCTGATTGCCAAAAGAACCTATAAAACACTGTTAAAAGAAAGGCGAAATAAAGGAGCTGGATGTTGTGGCGGTGTATGTGGTAGCTTTCGGAAAGCGGAATAGCGTTTTCTATCCCCACCGCAGACACTTATGGTTCGTAGTGTTACGAACATTGTAGTTCGATCCATATTGTTAAGCATCAGTGAAAACGGGTCATCACTTGTCAACGTCGTTGTAGTTGTTCAGTTTTGTACCTAATCCTTCTGGCTTTTAATGACAGTCGGTTTTTAAGATGTTTAGTCACTTTTCCTCTCCACACTTTAGCTTGAATGGAAGAGATGTGACCAGATTTTTCCGTTGTTACTGAAAAGGTGGAACACAAAAAATGATTCAGAACAATTTATCCCATAGTGGTTAGCGTTTGGTCACGTTTAGTTTTCTTTTCGAAACCGTTTTTTTAATAGCCAACTTTTTTTATCAGCCGTCATACCAGATCAAAGGTTAAAGGTCAATTTACCAAAAACTTTTAAACTCGCTGATCAATCTTCGGACTGACAATTTTCTTCGTGAGGCAACTAGTGCTGTCTGGATAATGACATCATGTATAAGCCATTGCAAGAATGACTTAGTAAATTGGTTAAGAACGTTATTAACTGACACAAGCATTGCTGGAATCTATAATGTAGTAGCATAATATAATATTTTTCAAGGAGAACTTCGATCACGGATTTAAGGTGGACAACAGCTACCTGACGATAAACGCTGTCGTGTTGGCGCAGTAAAATACCAGACCGCTAAATTGTGTAAAGAAGTGAATAGAACCACAACGTTGCTGAGATATTTGCAAAACTCTGGACCTGGAAAAGATCGATAGAAATAGCTGAGAGACATGCGAAACGAAGGACCCGTATGGTGTGGTGATGAACGCGTTACTCCACGGAAAGGACAATAGCGCGTTCGTTCCCCACCATAGACACCTGCGGTCCAGAGTTTTGCAAATATCTCAGCAACGTTGTGGTTGTATTTCGCTTAGTAACCTGCCATGAAAATTATAGAAGGCGGAAAACAAAAACGTTAAACGAAGTAAATAGAGTTAGTTTAGTGAAAAGAGCTCTTTGATTTCATTGCCAATAATTCGCCATTTGTCTTTATTGAATGAAAACATGAAAAAGGCCTTTTATACTTTGAAATATCTTTCTAGAATTGCTTAAATTCCATGAAAAAAACTACTAACCCTATTTTGAAAAAAGTTTCTGATGCAGAGCTTTTTAGGTGAAGAAGGCTTTTGAGTTTCAGTACGTTCAAATAATGTTCTTTGTAGTTGTGGTATGTGTTGCTATGCGTACAGTGAGTTCACAATTCGCTGTTTCCCTGTTTGCGACCATTCCACAGTTTTTTTAAATAATTAAAATTCAAAAATGTTTCTTATGCGCACTCTGGTGTGTAGAATGACATCATCTGAAAGCTGAATAAAAATTTAACCTATCCTGGGAATCGCTATCCTCCTGGAAGAAAATGGGTCGTGAAATGAGGTTGGCTGAGGTCGAACTTCGAGGACATTCTGGAAAGGCTATGTCGACACTCTAGGAAGTAGAGATTCAGTTCGGAAAT